AACATGGCGCGATTCGGGAGACGCCTTCTATCGTATTTGTAGGAAAAATCACCAAGGCGTGCCTTGAGGCGTAATTGCATTGCGTAATTTCAAACAATGGCTATTGTATGTTTTTTTTTTAAATGAAATAGCATCAAAACTTGATGCAATTACATTTTAAAGACGATTCAAAATTGAGAAGTACCAAGATCCACATCGATAACTTAAGATAACACAATACATACAGACAAACAGTGAAGCACACCAACAATGGCCTTGAAAATCTTCAGATGCATAATCTACTTGATCTTCTTCTTTGGCCTCAACTGATTGCTATGCCCACACTTCTTCTTGCGGCAGTTGACAGCGCGGGGATGCAAGCGAGCATAGCACTTGCGGCATATAGTTTTTTCTTGGTTAAACTTCCTAGCCAAAGCCACTAAAGATGGTTCGATAATTCGTCCACGAAGCCTCAACACCAGATGCAGAGTAGACTCTTTCTGAATATTGTAATCGGAAAGGGTACGGCCATCTTCTAGCTGCTTCCCGGCAAAAATCAGCCTCTGCTGATCCGGATGGAAATGGCTATTGTATGTTATATACAATGGGGGTGTTTGGTTATCGGCCTATCAGCCATTTTTTGGCTGATTTGACCATTATTTAGCTTTTTGACCAGATAATCAGTGTTTGGTTAAATGGCTTTTACATTTGGCTTCTGATCTCAAACAGCCAAAATATGAAAAGTCATTATTCGCAGCTTTTATGATCGGCTGTTTTGTATATTCCCATGCTGCCCCCTATCTTTTTCTTACACATGTGCTCCTAGTTGTTGCTAAACAAAAATCAAGTTGCAGCCCAAGAAAAAAAATTATGTCCGTATGCCTCCTATTTTTTTGGTACTAAGTTTAATTTTAATTCATGACTAATAACTTCATTAATTTTTACTTTTTACTGGGTAGGAAATAGTTCCTATTTTTAAAACTTTTTGTATATTATTCCCTTCTATTTTTTATTGTAAATTCACTAAAAATAGTTCTTAATTTCTACTTTTTTTTGCAATATATAGTAATAAAAAGAAATAAGCAAGGTATTTTGATAGAAATGATCTTACTTCATGCATACATTTTTCGTTACTTAACACGTCCAAAATGAATTCATTATCGAATTTGCGTGTTTGGTTATAAAGAGTCTTACAACTTAATTACACAGTGGCTATATGCGTATCAATATCAATCTTTTGATGCTACGTTTAATTTTATTTTTTACTAATAACTCCAATTATTAATCAAAGTATGATGTTGGCGTTTCTCTAAGAAAATCAAAGTATTACAATACTAATTAAATCTATTAATTCGTGAAAAAAAATAATTATTAATTGTACGTGTTAATACATTTTAATTAAGTCTAGTTCGAGGGCTGGTGGTTGCTAGCTGTCCTTTTTTCATTTTACCCCCTATCTGAATGTTGTGATATCAATTTAAGTCATCCGAGCCTAACGATCGAAAAAAAAAATTATTTTTTTAATCATTAAAATGGTTTAGGTAGTTATAATAATTATGTTAATAAAAAATAATTCATGTCCTTAAAAGTCATTTAACAAGTTATCAGCTATTTATACAGCGATTTAACCAAAAACTAATTTACAGACTACTAATCCAATCAACTAATTAAAACAACTAACAAAATCTGCTGTCATTAATCAACCAACATAATTGGCCAACAGCCAACAATTAACGGTCAATTGCCAAACACCCCCAATATATTCTCAAAGTTTAGGACTTCTATTATGGAAGATCTGGTGTTGCATCCCTTCTTGCACAAACCAATAGACGACTCAGCTTGGACGGCCTTCCATGTAGTATACAGGGAAGGGTCTTCTAGAGATTTTTGTGTGTCACGTATAATTGGTTTCCTTTAGGCACTAGCTTAAGATTAAATGTGGGTATAGAAACAGGAAAGAACTCTGTATTGTGATTTTACATGTCTACATGGAATATCTCACTTGTTTCGCATTTTGCATACCATTTTCCTTGTCAGTTATTATTGATTGTTGTGACCTGATACTTAAAATGGATTGTGTGACCTGCAGGTTTCAGGATTGGAGTTCAGACAGTAGTTTCAAAGGAGAACTTCCCACTAGAGCCAGAGGTCCCAATGGAAAAGTCCGAATAGCATTGCACTCAGTTTCGGATAGCTTCCACAGATCCCTAGAAAGTGGTTTTGAGAGGATCAAAAGTGTGAAAGATTCTCTTAAATCTTGTTCGTTTAACCGTGCTCTTAGAGGAGACTTAGGATATAAAAACAAGATTTTCGATCCGCAAGGTCCCTTTCTTCAGCGATGGAATAAAATATTTGTACTGTCATGTGTTGTTGCGATCTCATTGGATCCTCTGTTTTTCTACATTCCAGTGGTTGACAATGACAAGAAATGTCTTGATGTGGACAAAAAATTAGAGTTTACTGCTAGCGCTTTGCGTTCATGTACTGACATCTTTTACATCCTTCATATTATCTTACAATTTCGGACGAGCTTCATTGCCCCTCCTTCGCGTGTATTTGGAAGAGGCGTTTTAGTTGAAGATGCCAGGGAAATTGCAAAGAGATATTTGTCCTCTCATTTCTTTATTGACATCCTTGCAGTTCTTCCCTTGCCCCAAGTAAGATAGACTTATACATGACAATTTTAGTTATGCCATTAGTATTGGTTGAAAGCTTTATTAACTTTATGTTTGGATTTCGATTTGACATTTGTGCAGATTGTGATTCTAATAGTAATTCCTAAAATGAGAGGCGCTAAATCTTTGAATACAAAGAATTTGCTGAAGTTTGTGGTGTTCATCCAATATATTCCAAGGATCTATCGAGTTTATCCATTATATAAAGAAGTCACAAGAACTTCAGGCATACTTACTGAAACAGCATGGGCTGGGGCTGCATTTAATCTTTTCCTTTACATGCTTGCTAGTCATGTAAGTCTGTATTCTGTGAATATATTAGTTTTGACTTTTGATTGCATTAAATAACCAAAGATATTGTGCAAATAGTTAACTCCCCAGACTAATTATGGTAATGCATTGAAACCATGGATGCAAACATGTTTTCAACATTTCAATTTTTCATTTATTATTTACTTGAGTAACTCCCTCCATCTCAATTTAAAATTCTGAGAAACTGTTCATGCAGTCAATTTACTCCCTCCGTCCCAATTTGATAGTCTCATTTCTTTTGGGCACAAGTTTTAATAAAGTGATTGAAAAGGTAAAAGTTTTGGTTGAGATTTGAGTATAATAAAGTGAAATGATATGGACCACATCTTGCTTTCCAAAAAGGGAAACAAGACCATCATTTTGGGACATTCCAAAAAGGAAATACAGGACTATCATTTTGGGACGGAGGGAGTAACTCTCTTTTATTCTCTAAGTTTATATAGTAATCTTTATCACATTCGAGCTTGGTTTCTTCTGCTCACTAGAACTTTTGGTTTAGTTACTAAATGTGTAAATTTTAATTATTATCACTCCCTCTATCCCTTATAACTTTTTCATCTTTTCTTTTATGGTTGTCTCAAAATCTTTGCTACTTTCCCTTTTAATCAATTAATTTGTGATTCCTATTATTTATCTCTCTATCTGCACAGATCCTAATCACATAGTTTTTACTTTATTATTCCATGCACCGGTCATACTTGGCAAAATTATTAGGCATGCAGGACTGATAATTCTTATCACGGATGAATAACTTTATTATCACCAACTCACCAACCATCATACACCAAGGTGAAAACCTTAGTTTGGTATGAGGGAGTATTTTTATAATCATTTAATGAACTTAGTAATTGACACAACATTTTTGGAGTATATAATCAAATGAGCTATCACATATTATCATCTTTGTATTGGTGGGGGCGTGGCACACCTTTTCTGATCCTTAAGGTGATATGATGCTTCTCCAGGCACTTGGAGCTTTTTGGTATCTTTTCTCTATAGAACGTCAAACCACTTGTTGGCAAAGAGCTTGTGGGAATTCATCCAGCTGTCATCATGCCTCCTTGTACTGCGGGGATGATCATACAGCTTTTCTAACACGTCTAAACGACTCTTGCCCTACAGACAAAGAAGACCCTTCAAAATTTGATTTTGGCATATTCCTTGATGCTCTCCAGTCTGGTGTTGTAGAATCAAGAGACTTCCCTCAGAAATTTTTTTATTGCTTCTGGTGGGGCCTGCAAAACCTAAGGTATACACTATACAGTATACAGTCTCCGGGACTCCAAAATTTTATGACTTTGGGATGGGCTAGGAAAAATGGTTTTTTTTTTGCGGAACTGGAGGTAGTCCCGGGCCCCATGCTCCCCTCCTGCCTACAATCCTGTCCGTGTACTTGTCAATCATGTTTTCTTGGATGTCTGGCATTCCATGTCTTGTTTTTTTACAGGACTTCACATTTTGAGAACAAAGTCTGGCCTTAGTATGTTAGGTTATTAGTTATATCTAGGAGACTAGGACGATATGCTGTGTTTTTTGACAGGACTTCACATTTTGAGAACAAAGTCTGGCCTTAGTATGTTAGGTTATTAGTTATATCCAGGAGACTAGGATGATATGCTGTGTGTTCATCTTCATAAATTTCAGGTTTTGGTTGGCTTTCGTTGGTGTCAACAGTCAACATTTATGCCTTTAAATGAACCAATGACTCGTTTTTCTACCTTCATATATTTCATGGCTATGTCTGTATGCTAACTGTGGTTTCATAATTATTATATAGCATGTGATGTTTATCCTTGTGTATTTGCAGTTCACTTGGTCAGAACCTCAAGACAAGCACCTTTATTTGGGAAATTTGTTTTGCTGTTTTCATATCCATTGCTGGGTTGGTGCTATTTTCCTTTCTCATTGGAAACATGCAGGTAGGTCTGATTTATCAGCTCTCACACTGGTAGCTGTAAAAATCTTATTTAGTCGAAAAGGGTTTCAAATCTTATTTTCGTATACAAGTCTCTTCTTACTTGACTATTATGATCTCTTGTTAATTGATTTTTTTTTTGGGTTTAACAGACATTTCTGCAGTCAACCACAGTGAGGCTGGAGGAAATGAGAGTCAAAAGGCGAGATGCGGAGCAGTGGATGGCTCATCGTTTGCTCCCTGAGAATCTTAGACAGCGGATAAGGCGGTATGAACAATACAAATGGCAGGAAACTAGGGGTGTTGATGAAGAAAATTTGATCCGTAACCTTCCTAAAGATCTCAGAAGAGACATAAAGCGCCACCTTTGTTTGGCTTTGCTTATGAGAGTAAGCCTTTATGCGTTAAATTATTGCCGTCTCACTTAAAGCCCATTAGTTAGCCTAGAAATGGCTGAATTAGCTTAAAAGAAATTTAATGGAGAATAAAACATATAGAAAAAACCTAAAAAATCTTCTTTAATTTACCCTCAAAAGTTTCTACACCTTTACTTTTTTCATTATTTAACCAATTAAAGTACCTAAATTAACTGTTTGAAAAAAGGCTCGATAAGCCAAAAGTCATGGTTTTCAAAGGGGCACTTAATCATACCAGTATCACTTAATTAATTCTGGGCACCTAGGTTATCAAAAAACCTGTGAAAGCTTGAAATGACCCAGTTTTGGAAATTCTTCAAATCGGAGGTTTCAGAAGTTACAAGTTCATTAATATGTAATTTTAGTATGTGTATCCAGCTTAACCTCCATCTGAACAAATGTGTACTCCGCTCACCTAGGTTTAACTAATAAGTATCCTCCAAACAACATTTTCCATGTACGCACAAGGGTCCATCTAAGTTTATCCAATTTTTACTAAATCTAGTTCATTTAAGTTCGCAAGATTTTCATAAGTTTGTTGCAGTCCAAATTTGGAGTGTAGAAGTTGAAACTTACAGCTAGTTAACTTTTGAAGGTGCCAATGTTTGAAAAAATGGATGATCAACTCTTGGATGCAATGTGTGATCGCCTAAAGCCAGTGCTGTACACTGAGAAAAGCTTTATTGTACGGGAAGGCGATCCGGTTGATGAGATGCTCTTTGTAATACGGGGCAAGTTGTTCTCAGTAACCACTAATGGAGGCAGGACAGGGTTCTTTAACTCAGGTTACCTGAAGGCAGGTGACTTTTGCGGAGAAGAACTCCTGACGTGGGCTCTTGATCCACACCCATCTTCTAACCTCCCCATTTCAACCAGAACCGTTCAAGCTCTTGCAGAAGTTGAAGCATTCGCTCTAATGGCGGATGATCTGAAGTTTGTAGCATCTCAGTTCAGGCGACTTCACAGTAAGCAGATTCGTCACACTTTCAGGTTCTACTCACAGCAATGGAGAACTTGGGCTGCCTGTTTCATACAAGCAGCGTGGCGACGCTACTGCCGGAAGAAACTGGAAGAGTCTTTGCGTCAGGAAGAAGACAGGTTGCAAGATGCTTTAGCAAAGGGTAGCATCAATTCGCCTAGTTTAGGGGCTACCATCTATGCGTCTCGGTTTGCCGCCAATGCTCTTCGCCTATTACGTCGCAATAGTACAAAGAAAGCAAGGATGCCTGAGAGAATATCGCCGATGCTGCTTCAGAAGCCGGCTGAGCCAGATTTCACTGCTGAAGATAAGTAGATGTCCAATATAAGTTAAATATTTGTTGTGCATGGTAATGATTGTCATCTATCATGTTTGATGTACATAAGATGCTGATTTCTATTCTATATCAAATCCGCATTTGTTTTACTTTTCATCAATTAAACAGACTCGTCGATGTTTGATAGGTGTCGAGAGAAATCATTTCACTCGCAATCTAAGCATTTTGCACAACATGTTTTCTCCATCTCTTAATTTCTGATACCAATGCACGCGGGGCGTTGACTTGACTACTTGCGATGGATTGCTTTCTCCCGCAAGAACTAATACATTTTGGTTAACAACGATGATTGTACACTACAAAAAAAACTCATTTTATTGGCTCTAGCAATGTTGGCTCGGATTTGGCTCGGATTTAGGTTTTGTGCCTATATGGGTGTGCCAAAATAGTCTCGGATTTTCAGATCCGACCCAAAGATAGTATCAGAACTTGTCTGTGCTTGTCCTGGCCCGCCGTTCATTTGAGCCAATTTTTTTTTTTTTGCACAGTTTTTCCCAGCCAAATGGTTGGATCACTGGCCACTGTTACAGTCCAGGAATTCCCATAAAAATGGAGAAGTTTATAGAGATAGAGGAAATGGATGTGAGAGTATTTTATTAACATGTCTGCTTTACAATCTCTCTCAATGGCTATATATGGTGTAAGTGTGTAACTAGCTAACAACTTGTTCAACTAACTAGACTTATTCAATTATAATATTGTGGCTAACTAACTAATAAACTGAATACAACTATATCAATACTTCCCCTTTCACAATTGACTTGTCATCCAGTCACTTGAGTCAATTGACTTGGCATCGAATCACTTGACTATAAAAGATTGGGAACCATGTCTTGATAAGGTCTGCCCATTCCCAAGTAGCATCTGTCACTTCATGTCCTTGCCATTGAATGAGAAATTTGATTTTAGCTTGATTTTGAGCGTTCACCATCTGTCTTGCCAACACATCTACTGTTCCAATTTACTCTCCTTGTCCCAGTTGCCCATATTATGCAACAAAGTAGGAATATGAGGCTTAGCTGGAAGTATGCCTTTGAATTCCTTTAACCGAGAGACATGAAAGGTATCATGAATCTTGGCTTCAAGTGGTAGCTTCAAACTGATAAGCCACTTTGCTTACAGCTTATTTGAAGGAACCATAAAACTTAGGAGCTAGTTTATCATTCCTTCTGTGTTCTACTGTGTACCGCAACTTGAGCCATACCCAATCTCCAATATTAAACTTCCTTTCTCATCTCTTCTTATCCGCTTGCACCTTCATTCTATTTAGGGATGGACCGGTTCGGGCCTCGGTTCATGAAGGGCCCGGGAGGCCCGGAACCGGCCCGGGTAACCCCCGGGTCCGGGCCGGGCCGGGCCTCGGTTCTATTTTTTTTGGCTTTTCCTAGTTAACCCCCAACCCTCCCCCTCACCCCCAAACCAACCCTGACCACCTCAAATGGCCCAAAATACCCAGCCCAACTCAAAAACTTACAAAAATTCAAAAAAAAAAAAAAAAAAATTGGCCCGGCCCGGGCCCGAACCGGCCGGGCCGGTTCACCTTTTGAAGGGCCCGAGCCCGAACCGCCATCCCACTGGGCCGGGTGACCCGAACCGGGCCCGGAACCGGTTCACCGGGCCGGGCCGGGCCCGCACAGTAGCGGGCCGGTTGGCCCAGCCCGAGTCCACTCCTAATTCTATTATGTGCTCTTTGTAATTGTAACTTCAATAGGTGAATCATGTTATCTCTTTGTTGCATTGATATGTCCACTGGTGCAACTTTCGTTTCCCCAGCCAAATAGGGTAGAGGTAGGAGGGGAGGCTGATTTTACACTGCCTCATTAGGAGTTATGCGTGTGGCAGAATGAAAAGTTGTATTGTACCAATATTTTGCTAATGGCAGCCACTTACACTAGTCCTGAGGTTTCTCAAAGCACATGCACCTCAAATAATTTTCCAAACGTCTGTTTACTACTTCTGTTTGACCATCTGTCTGAGGATGAAAGGAAGTAGATAGGAGCAGCTCCACCCCTTGCACACTGAATAAAGCTTTCCAGAAAGTGCTTAGAAAAACTGAACCCGTATCACTCACAATGATGTTTGGCCAACCATGGAGTTTAAAAACATGATCCAGACAGCTTTGAGCTACTTCAATTGGTGTAAAAGGATGTTTAAGAGTCATGGAATGTGCATACTTGCTCAACCTGTCTACTACGTTCTACAAACATGACATTCCTTCCGCAAGATGTAGGCAACCCCTCAATAAAATTCATAGATACATCCATCCAAATTTCTTTAGGAATAGGTAAGGGTTGTAATTTTCCCGGGTATGCAGAATTATCATACTTTCAAGCCGGGCAAATCTGACAAGCTCTAATGAAAGCTTGCGCCTCCTTATTAAGACCTTTCCAATGAAACAAATGCCTAATTCTCTGAATTGAAGCATCTCTTCCTGAATGTACTCCGGTGGCATAACTGTGTGCCCAATGTATTAATATGTTTTTGATAATAGGATCTTGTCCTATTACCATCTTGCCTCTCTTTCTCAGAATCCCTGTAAATTGTATCACCTTCCTTTGTGTTATTCTGCAATTGATTAATAATCTTTTGCAAATGATCACCCCCTTTATAACTTTGCTTGATCAGACCCATCATATCTGTTTGTATTGAAGAAATGGCTAGGTTTAGTAGTTTTGCCCCAGTCACCCTCTTATAATAGTAGTTAATGCATCAGCTACTTCATTCTCAACCCCACTCTTATATTGGATTTCATATCTGAAACCCAGCAATTTAGACAATCAGAATTGCTCAAAATGGGTTGAAATCTTCTGCTCCAATAATCATTTCAAACTCGTTTGGTCAGTTCTAATGATAAAAGTATGACCAAAGAGATACTGCTCCCATTTCTGAATAACAAACACCCATGCCAATAATTCCTTCTCATATACTGAGAGATTTTGCAATCTAAATCCCAATTATCTGTTTATGAAAGCCAAAGGATGTCCTTCTTGCATCAAGACAACCCTTATCCCATATTGGATGCACATGTTTCAATGATAATCTGTTTATCAAAACCAGGCAATGTTAACACCGGAGCAGTGCTTAAAGCTTGTTTCATGTCCTCAAATGCCACATTAGCTTTCTTAGACCATTGAAAAGCTCCCTTCTTCAATAGATCTGTAAGTGGTCTGGCTATTATTGCATAACTCCTGATAAACTTCCTATAATAGCCTGCCAAGCCCAGAAAACTTCTGAGTTGTTTCAAGGAAGCAAGAATTGGCCAATTGATTATGGTATCAATTTTTCTTCCATCTGTTTCCGGCCCTTTTTCTCATATGTAATGCCCTTAAGTACTCCTCCTTCTTCATACCAAAATTACATTTGCGTCTCTTAACATATAATTGATGTTGCTTGAGAACTTCAAACACATGATGCAAATGTAACTTATGACTCTCCAAGTTAGGGTTGTATATAAGAATGTCATCAAAGAATATGAGAACAAATTTTCTCAAAAAAATCCTCTAATATATGATTCATAAAATCTTGAAAAGTGGCTGGTGCATTAGTCAACCCAAAAGGCATAACTAAAAACTCAAAATGGCCATAATGAGTCTTAAAGGTTGTTTTATGCACATCTTCTGGACATACTCTCAATTGATGACAACTTGCCCTTAAATCAAATTTAGAAAATATATTTGCCCCAACCAATTCATCAATCAACTCATCTATTACAGGAATTGGGAACTTATCTTTGACGGTCTGTTTATTAAGAGCTCTATAATTTGTGCAGTCTCCAATCCCCATCCTTTTTGCTTGCTAAGACAATTGGAAAAGCATAAGGTGAAGAACTAGGTTGAATAATATCCTCATCCAACAGTTCTTTAACTTTTTTCTCAACTATATCCTTCTGCTTCAAAGGATACCTGTAAGGTCTGATGTTGAGAGGTTGTGACCATTCCTTTATAGGTTGATCAAACACACCCCTACTTGGTGGTCTGAAATGATCATCCTCTCTTTCCAATTTAGTGTCTCCTATTGCCTCAGGTTGACATTTTATTAGATGAGTTGGACTTTTTTATGTACACACTTTTACACATGTCTGTGCAGGTTTTTTTATCTGTTACAGACAAAACGTATTTGACAGAATACGTTTTGTCTGTAACAAACAAAAAAACCCTACACAGACATGTGTAAAAGTGTGTACACAAAAAGTGTGTACCTTTGGAATTTTCCGTATTAGATAGAGCTGAGTTGTTTGATGCAGGTGTTTTGGTGGTCCCACTTATAGTTTTCACAGTGTAAGTACGAGTATCGATTCCGTAGGGACGGACAAAAGGGAATTAAGTATTAATTAAATTCAGCGAAAAAAATAAAATAAAATAAATGTGATGTGCGAGATTTGATTGATTGGGAAAATTAAATTGCGAATAAAGAAATTTAACTAATGGGTTCTTTCTAATTAATGACGATAGGGAACAGGGATTGACTCTGGGGTATCAGATTTCTGGCTGATCAGGCTTAATCACATGAAATTAATTTAATTGAGTCTCGTTAATCATTACTAAGTTCTAACCGCTCTCGCGACGTAGAGTACAATAATTTAAGGAATCATGTTGATCTCTCATGCGACAGGTATTTAAAATTATTGCCAAAACGAACGAGCGTACGGCCCTTTAATCGTTACTAATCTCTTAACGAACGATTAAGTGTGTGTGAAGGTGTCCTAGAATAAATTAGATCTCTCTTAATTTATTTACAAGCAATTATAATCCTAGTGGCCATTCTAGGTTACAAGAGATATCAATTAAATCATTCAAACACAAATTAAATCAAACTTCATGCAATTAATACATCATGAGTTTAGCCATATATCATGATTCACCCATTCATCAATCCCAAATCCCTAATTAAAACTTACTCACAACTCATAATTGAAGAATCAATAGAATTGGGAAGAATAGAATTAATTGTCATTCATTAAAAAGTAGGAACTTACAAATAATCTAAGGGAATTGAAGAATAAGATGAAAAATAGAAGAAATTTCGTCCCTAGGTCTCTCTCTAAGCTCTATAACCCCCCAAAAAGAGGTATGGAGGCCTTATTTATAGAAAATAATAAATTCTGGCCGATATAGGACTGATCTGGCGTAAAACGGGGATACGCACGATCGTGCGTCCCCTGCCACGCACAATCGTGTGTCCCCTTCCACACACGATCGTGCGTGGCATCCAGTAGCTCCTCGTGATTTTGTCTTCACGCACGATCGTGCGTACTTCGCACGCATGATCGTGCCTTCTTAACTTCTGAATTTGACGACGGTTGCTTCATGAAAGTTGTAGATAATGAAGTCCTCTATCCACCACACTTTGCAAAATTGGATTTGAATCATCCAATCAAAAGATATGAATAAAATGGTGGAAGGTCGCATTCTGAAATCGCAACAGGGATCATTTGCCTTCATAATTTGTTTTCATCTTATTTCTCTCAGATTCTCGCAATGGTGTATTCATGTGATTTGTATCAAGTTGGCTTTCATATAGAACTTGAATCGTGTTCTTTGGATGTTTCTACAAAAAGATATTCTTGGATAACTGACAGAAGGTCACCCTGAGCACCGCTTTCAAACTTTATTTGTCTTCTTTTGATCCCGTAGCCAATCCTAGAGCTCTTTTGTCATCAAATTTTCATCGTGAACCTCCCGGTAGCCTCCAAATCTCTCAAATCCTTCTCGAATGCTCCTCAACTCATCTCAAATGCTTCTCACGCGCCGATGTTGGGCTCAATTTCCCTTATTTAGACTCCAAAAGATACCAAACTCGAACCAACGCTCTAGTAAACGTAACTTGAGCTAGAATTGAGACTTATAACCCTTAAAGATAGGAAAAACTATCAAAATTCAATTCCAACACGCATCAAATGCGTGTTGTAATGCGAACTTATCGGTTGTACATGGGAGTGAGTTGCAATGGTTTAGATGCAGACGTTTTATACAAACTGGCAAATTTAGCATGATTAGTCAAAGCTTCCACATTATCCTCTTGTAGTCTTGCAAACCCTATTGCTTCAGCCATACTGCAGGTTTTGAAAGCTTTAACAAATGAGTTAAGCGTTTGCTTTAAAGCAGCTAAGAAGCAATCCAAAAAGTAATCATCACGCAGTTTTGGATTTCTTTGAATCATAAGGGCTTTGAGATGTTCAAATTCATCTACAAATTCTTTCAGTGGTCCTATTTGTTTCAAATTATTGAACCTTTTCACCACTTTGCTACCGCTATTATCATTGAATCTTGCAGATAAATCACCAGCAAATCGTTTCCATGACAACTTCTTTTTGGACAAAATATAATTTCCAAACCAGTTAGTTGCTCTACCCTCCAGGTATAAGGAAGTCAAATTAACTCTTTGTTTATCTAGAAATGTACAGAGTTTGGAGTACCTTTCACATTTTTGCACCCAAATTTTAGCATTCTGACCTTCAAAGGTAGAAAATTCTACCTTAGGCGTAAACCGGTACAGTTGTTGGCCAGAAGAACATTTACCAGAAGCATCACCGATATCATCTTCTTCATCTTATGATGACTCCTCCTCTGTACTGGAATTATATCCTCCTTCCTGTACTACTTTCTTTCCATTCTTTTGTTGCAGTTTGATAGGCACTAGTTGTTAGTGCCTAAGTATACATTTTTATTATTGTTTGTAATGTTTATTTACCAGTTCTGTGAAAGTTTGTAGTTGTTAGTTTGCATTTGATTGTAATGGTATTTCTAGCATTTTATTGTTTGTTGTAAGTTGTAGCTAGTTGGTCTATATGTTTAGGTTAGGTTTGGAAGCAAAAAGGATGAAGAAACCTGAGTTTTTGCAAAACCTGGTCGGGTATGACCTTTACCCGGCCGGGTATGAAGTGAAAGAGGAAGCTTCTGGGAGATTATATCAAATACCCGGTCGGGTATTCCATATACCCGGTCGGGTATGAAGTGGGTTCAGACAGAAAAACGTGGGAAAAAGATTTAATTAGAAAAATACCCGATCGGGTATGTCAAATACCCGACCGGGTATCCGGCCATAGGTGTTGAAAAGACCTATAAATAACCTCATTTTCCTTCACTTTTCAACATCCCTTCTTCCATACTCTTAAATTCAGTTTAGAATAGCATTTCTTTATATTTTTCTAGCTATGTTTAGTCTCCAAATGAGGAGCTAAACTTGCATTTCTTGGTTTTGCTCTTGAAGCTTGTTGATTATTAAAGTTGTGAGTTATTTTCTTAACTTCTCTTCTTGAATATTAATTCTTCCCTTAATCTCATTCTATATTAATGTTGAGGTGTTGCTAAGTGACGATTAGTTAACACTTTGACATTAATTATTACTACAAACGATCAACGAACCGATGGTTAATCGTTGATGATTTCACAAGTAAGTAACTTCAGTTTATTAATGCACAGTCGTGGTTAATAGACTTAAGAGGAATTAATTTTGTTGGTTAAACCGAAACTTTAAGTTCATAACAATAACTTTATAAAAAAACCTGTATCACATCTTTATTTTCTTAAGATGGGATCGAACAACTCAATTATATAAAAGACAAAATTAAACAACAAAACATGGATTGTTGTTGGTATTGCTATTATTATTATTATTATTATTATTTGATGGACGGTTTATAATGAAGTGAAATTGTTTCCACTGAATAAATTATTTGGTCTTTTTCTTGAAGGATTTTTTCTTCAATTGTTGAATTTGTTAAATATAAAATTGTGTACACATGTGACTTTTGGATGCAACATTTTGAAAATTAAATTAAAAATGATGGAAGGACTAAATTGATACGAACTAAATAGAATAAGGAGTATAAATAGATTTATAAGTTTATGGATCAAAATCCAATATTAGTTCAAGGACCATCATGCCATTTTATCCAACTTTGCCAAGAAGATTGGTTCTTCCTACCAAATTGTTGAAGTGGTCCTGAGAAGATATGAGGAGAAGAAATCTGTTTCCAGCCTATAAAACAAGCTCTATCCTCCTCCCTCATCTACTCTTATCCAAATGAGTGAATGCCATAATTACTCGTCCCTGAAAACTAAGTTTATCACTGTGCAAGTAAGACGAGTAAGCATGGCAGAGCTGAGCCTATCTATACCACAAGCATACAAATTCTCCATCTCTGAACCGGCCAGAAGAACTCAACTCATGGCGGCCTTGTGATTCACATCCCTCTGTACCTGGTATCTGCTATTTCTAATGCTCTACTTTGTATATACCTCTGTAAATTATTTCTTCATCAATGGAATGCATTGAGTTGTGACGAGTTCCTTTCTATGGGTTAGCTGAGATTTCTCGTTTTTTATCAGCAGATATGGTTTGTTATTCAAATTTCAATGCGTTTCTACTAGGAAAAACTCTTTTTTCCCAATAAATTAAAAAGGACATAAATAATAGAGATATATATAGTTTAAACAAGAAGAGGCAAATTAAGTTGAGTAATTGTTGATCGGCATGAGACTGCCGAAAACTAATTTGGGTGAGAGCATTCTTGAACTTTTCATACCAATCTCTTGATGCTTCGCATAGGCCGTAAAAGGATTTTTTTAAGCTTGCATACCCAAGTGTCACCTTCTTTAGCAAAATGTTGTGGAACACGCATGTATACATCTTCATGTAAGTCATGATGCAAGAAGACATTATTTTCATCGAGGAGGGGAAGAGAATTTTGGGAGTTTATTCGGCTTTTATCAAGCCGAAGTGAGCTCCTCACTAATGATGGGGGATTTCTACGATACATTATATGATTCGGAAGTCGGAACGGAGGAGCAGATTACTGCAACTAAATTGGATGCTTAATGGTTTTCGTGAGGCAATTTGGGATTCCCGGTTGAGTAATTTGCATTTTGAGGGATACCAGTGGACATGGCAACGAGGTCGAGGTACATCGTGGTGGATTGGCGAAAAGCTTGACCAAATATATTGTGGCTAATGAAGTAATGAAGCTTGGTTGGATACATTTTAAGAGTAATAAAGGTCCATCTAGTGACCATATGATGTTGTATACTCTGTTTAATTACTCTCGTAGTCGTATGCAATCGTGTAAGATGAGCTTTAGATTTGAAAATATATGATTAAAAGAGGAGTAATGTAAAGTGGTTATTCAACAAAGCTGGCCGCGAGGATGATCCCAGTCGGGGAATTTGGCAGCAGATCACATACTGTGGGAGGGCACTTGAAAAATGCAGCAGGAGATGAGACGAAAGCAAGGGTTCCAGGCAGGAAATGCTGAGTGTCGTCGACGTCTTGTGTGCTTAAGGTACAAATATGATATGATAGTATTGTTCAGTTGAAAAGAGTTGAAATTACATTATTCAACCTACTCGAGCAACAAAATTATTTCTAAAGGCAAAGAGCGAAAGAATTTTGGCTCAAAGAAGGTGATGGCAATACCGATTTTTTCCACAATTCCGTTAAGCAAAGGAGGAGAACTAACACGATGAAGGGCCTGAAGAAAGATGATGATATTTGGGTACTACATAGAGCCAAGTTAGGAAGATCAATTGAATAATATTTTAAAATTTTATTCTTATCGAACAGGACCAGACTGAATCGAGTTTCTCCTATTGATGATGCAACTTTGCTAAAATCGATCACAATGGGGAAGTAAAAAAAGCGGGTCTTGCCATGCATCTGGACAAAGTCACAAAGCTCCTGACCTATATGCAATTAATTCAGGGGAATGTCCCTAATTGGCAGCCCTTTCTAATGCAAGGATAGAGAATTTAGTATGGATCCAATCTATAATTTGAGCTATGGTTAGGATTAATGAGAGATTGGTTGTTTGTTCTTCAAAATAATCTTTTAACAAATCCACAATCAACATAAAAAAGAACATTAAATAAAAAACAACAGTGAGGGGTGCAAAAGCATATGAGATGCCATCTATTACTTATTGTCATCCAACATGCATCATGACTGAGATGTGAATGAATTATTTAATAACAAAACTATACATCTTTGCTGCTATGCCTTGCTGCTCCTTCAAACCAACAAGCATCATTAACTATAAATTAACTATAAATAAAATATAACCAGAAAACGACCTAACATAACAAAACATCATCATCCAATTGCATGCACACAATAAAAAAACCAATCACTAATTCCTCATATATTTTAAACATGAAAGATGTCTCTTCCTGCTACCTTGCTGCTTCTCGACAAAATCTCCAACTCTGCCCAGCAGTGCTACAAATAGAATCATCTTCGTCTCGCATGAGGTAGCAGTCAACTTGTGCAGCTGCTTGTCGCCCCTCTGAGATGGCCCACACCACTAGAGACTGGCCTCTACGACAGTCCCCTGCTGCAAACACACCTTCCACATTGGTGGCGAAGCGTCCATATTCAGCTTTTAAGTTCGACCTGTTATCTTTCTCCACGCCCAGTTGGTCAGCTATGGTCTGAACAATCACATGCATGCAACGATTATGATGAGTAAATTCCACACATATGTACACGCTACATATTAAGATCATAAGATAAATTTAAAAATTGATTTGACCAAGTTCTGATTTACAAAAAACTCTACTGTCTGAAAATCCAAATTTAAGAGTATGGGATTCTGTGCGGTCTTTTTTATTGTAGTACTGTAATCCCACAGTACTACTACTGCTACCAACTAACTCCTGTGGTAAAGGAGGCAGAGGTTAGTACTCCTGCTTAATATCATATAGAAGAACCTACTATATGCAGCAAAGCTAGAGTAGCTCCTGCAGCAGGTGGCAATGCGAGAAGGTGCCACCTGCAGTTATTACTGGAGCCGGATAATGGCAGCCGATGTTGTCGCCGGTTAGTAGTCAGAGACCGAGAGACGTCACCACCGGATAATGGCAACCAACATCACAGGTGAGATCAGTGGAGGTACTACTACTAATCCAGTTACTGTTACTGTTCTCCTTGTATGTATAGAAAATGATGAAATTGTTGTTTTTGCATTCATAAATTTGCTATGAAATTTGTTCTATCTAAATTATACTATGCATCACAAAAGAACACTTACAGATTCAGGGCCAAGGAAACCCATCGCAAGAAAAACTATATCCGCTTCAATGATTTCCTCAGAACCTTTGATTTCCTCGAAATTAAATTTCCCTGTTGCATCCTTCTCCCATTGCACGTGAACAACTTCAAGACCTTTCACCACTCCATTTTCATCTCCGATAAACCGCTTTGTTAGCACCTCATAAGACCTTGGATCCTTGCCGAATTTTGTAGCAGCCTCTTGATGTCCATAATCGACTCGAAACACCCGAGGCCACTGTCAATAACATCATTTATACGATGTATCAGACTATCAGTAAAGAGAGAAATGCCTGCAGAGCCAAGGTCTAATTACGCCTCTTGAACTACTCTAAACATTATCTTTTGGTAATTGTGGGCTGGCTCAACATGCCCGCAAAATAGTGATTTAAAGGAACTCACGGGACAAATCATAAGACTCGTGTAGCATGTCAATCTAAAAGATTTATATCTTTATCTCTGACTAGTGTGGGATGACTTAACAAAAACTATTAAAAACTGATGACTTAGCAAAAATCATAAAAACTAAATAATTACTAATTAATTATTGGAAAATTCCCGAAATAGGAGTAAAAAAGTTTGAAAATTCCAAAATAGATATGTCATGTTTTTATTCCCAAAATAGGAGTAATTACTGCCATGTTTGGAAAATACTGCCATGTTTAAAGTCTGGTACCGCCAAAACATGACAGTAATTGGTCCTATTTTGAGAATAAAAACATGATAGTCCTATTTTGGAATATACAAACATTTTTAGTCCTATTTTGGGTAATTTCTCATTAATTAACCAATATGATTAGAAATCATATTCGTTTTCACCTACACCATTCCCGGTAGTGCATTATTTCCATGTTCATATGGTTTCTTATGGGGGTAAAGGAGAGGGTTGGTTTATCCCATTCTCATGCCTGTGAGGGCAGTCTAAGTTAAAATACTAGTGGTTCAAGTAAGAAAACTAGCAGGAAACAGCATAAACATTCAAAGGACATGGCCAAACCTGCGGCCAAGGATTGCTTGCAGCCCTAGACATCGGAGGCTGGGGGAGAAGCTCTAGGTTCACTACACTGCTACAACCATGACGAATAGAAGTCCCTATGCAGTCTGTGCCGGTGTCACCACCCCCAATAACTACCACCTTCTTGTCCTTGGCAGAAATGTAATTACCATCCTCAAGATTGCTATCAAGCAAGCTTTTAGTGTTAGCATGAAGGAACTCCATAGCAAAATAGACTCCAGATAGTTCACGGCCAGGAACAGGAAGGTCCCTGAAAAATTAGTACACTAACTATCATCCACACAAAAAGAAAGATAAGGACCTAAGGTAATCTTCTACTTAACCCAAAAAGGCGAATACCCTGTGGTAATAAGCATGAAGCCATTTCCTGTAAATATATATAGAAACAACAAAATAGTACGCCAACCAGAGAGTCCTTACCTAGGTTTTGTGGATCCTATAGCTAAAATAATTGCATCGTACTCCTCTTGAAGCCGATCAAGGGAGAACGTAGGATCTTTACCAACATTAGCATTGACAACAAAGTTGATACCTTCCTTCTCCATTAGATCTACCCGTCTCTGAACTATATCAATTTTATCGGCCTTCATGTTGGGCACTCCATACATCATAAGACCACCTATCCGATCAGAGCGCTCAAAAACTGTTACAGTATGACCCTTTTTGTTCAACTGATCAGCAGCAGCCAGACCAGCTGGTCCACTTCCAATAACAGCAACTTGTTTTCTGCAAAACCAAGTGATTATTATGGACGTGCACATTACGCAATAAAAACTTTCTTTATATTAGAATACACAGGCCAAAATGTCCTATAAAAACACTACAAAGGGCAAAACTGAGTAAGAACGAACAAGGTTCGAAATTGCGTATTGCGTGTTTAAGGCGATTTGTTGGCATTGCCTATTGTGTAAGCCTCAATTGCGCAATGAGGCGTAAGCCTCAAATTTTACAAAAATTTATATTAAAAAAGTGCAAATAAGTAAAAGAATGATAATAACTAACGATGAAGATAATAAAATATTTTACAATATTATACTCTGTAATATTATAACTAACAATCTAACATAGAAGATTATATATAGCTGACAAAGAAGTTAAGAAGATAAGAAAATATCATAATATGCTAACATAGAAGATTATAGCTGACAAAGAAGTTAAGAAGATAAGAAAATATTATAACATTCGTCCACTATATATTTTGATATCTTATACGGGATAGATCATATTAAGGGATAGATCATATTAAGGGATAGATCATATTAAGGGAGACAATAGAATGCAAAGCATACCCTGTTCTCTTTTCAGGAGGTCGTGGCACCATCCAGCCCTCCTCAAAACCTTTGTCAATGATAGCACACTCTATGCTTTTAATAGAGACTGGGTTTTCTATGATACCAAGTACACATGATCCCTCGCAAGGTGCAGGACACACACGACCCGTGAACTCTGGAAAGTTATTAGTCTCTAGAAGCCTATGGAGTGCTTCACGCCATCTATTTTGATACACCAGTTCATTGAATTCAGGTATTTTATTTCCTAGAGGACAGCCAGAGTTTTCCTGTGCGTTTTCCCGCCAAAAAATAACACGATAAATTTCAATATCAGAAACAGAATATCAATTTGTGAGAAAATCAATTCTAGACGTATGCATGTACCTGATGGCAAAAAGGAGTACCACAGTCCATACAGCGTGCCGACTGTGTATTCAAAAGTGGACCAGGTTTAGTCTCTTCCATGACTTCTTTCCAGTCTCTCAAGCGAACATTTGGGTCCCTGTATGAAACTCCTTCTCGCTCATAGTTAACAAAACCCCGATGTTTGACTGCCTCATTAACTTTGGTTGGTCTCTTCACTTTCTCATCCTGGTAGTTGCAAGGATATAAGAAAAGATGGTAGCAAATAGTACACAAGGTGCATGAAAGAGACAGACTGGGATGGGGTTGGGATGGGGTTATCAGAGACTGGCCCCTGTTGACTAAAAGTAATGAAGCCAATTGTTATGCACATATAACATACCAATATAGCACTGCACTTTAGATATGAGGTTAAACTAATATGTAGAAAACAGCACTTGTCCCACATTTTTTTAAAGGTTCTTGAGAATCTCGAGTCAACTGTGCTTCTAGTCTTCTACCATTTACAATAACAATGGTTTTCAAGAACGTGCATTTAATTATCAGTGATTATATAATAATAGATATATAGAATAACAAATATAAAATCTTTTATCTTCATTTTCACATTATTCAATTCATTTTCAAGACGAGGTAGAAAAATACACCTCAAAACAAGAAACCAATACTCTAAATCTTGAACCAATATTATGAGTTAATTACCTAAATAGGAGTAAAAGGTAGTCCACAATCACAGATAGGACTACAATGTTTTTTATTAACTAGTAGGACTAATTATGTGTGGTTGGACAAATATACCCTTGTAGCTTTTGAAATGTTTTAATTCATAATAAAATCATAAAAAATAATGAAAAATTGTACAAAAATAATAAAAAATTAATAAAATATTATTTAAATAAAAATTTTTAAAAAAATATTTTTTATTAAAAAAATTAAAAAAAAATGAAAAAAATCACCGCCGCCTCTGCCACCCTCAGCACCACCTCCAATCACATAAAAAATGCCACATAGTAATGCCATATTAATGGAAGTTTCAATGAAAACTTTGGCATTATCAAAGAGTAATATGCCATTTTTTTGGCATTTTCAGAAAAAATGACATTTTTTACAAATAATGGAATTTTTTTACACCGGTCGGAGGTGGTGGTTCGGGAGGCAGTAGATGTGCATCCATTTTTTATGTTTTTATTATTTTTAATTATTTTTTTTATTTTTTATTTTTTTTATTTTTTTTTTAATTTTTTTAATATTTTTATTTTAAAAAGATTTATTAATTTTTTATTATTTTTCTATGATTTTTATTATTTTTTACGATTTTATTATGAAATAAAACCTTGAGAAAATTAACACTTATGTGACCAAAACATTGTGTATTTCCCAAAATATGACTTACATCTTTGTTTTCCTAAAAAGATGCCAAATACCATGCCCCATACAACCGAGTGTTTCCTTTTAATTATGTCATTCCATACATATTTAGTAATATATTGAGAAACAATCATCCATGGTCATATTTTGGGAATTGGCATGAGTTTTACTCATATATAGGTATTTTTCCCTCCCATAAAACCTTTCCATATGAATTACTACACTTAGGGGTATTTAGAGTACAAAATTAATGTTTAGTCCTATTTGTGAATGATTTAGGGGTGTAGTCCTATTGTGATTTTTAGCCTAGTTTTAGTCCTATTTAGGGCAATAACTAATATTATATATACCCCTTACTCTACCTTTTTTCCTGTGTTGATAAAGTAAAAAGAGGAAGACGCAAAATCTATTCTAATTTACTTTTTTACTTTAATTTGAAATATAAAACTATGAAATAGAGAGTTAAGCCAAAAATCTTTTTATCACTTATCACAAGTAACAGAGAGAAAATATAACACGCAAAAAGAACACCTGGTCAAGTTTCCCATTAGAGGATGCAGCCGCCAATTTCTTCAACTCTTCAAAAGCATCGATCTCCCTCAATTCTTCTTCATCTTGTTCCTTAGCTTCATTGGCTGCACATTCCACAGCCTTTTTGCTAGCTTCAGACTCTTTCATGCTTGTAAGGACCCGCTTATACTCTCTAGGGAAGACCTTGATGAACTTGGGCAAAACATTGTCAAAATCAGCAAGAACTTCTTTTGCAACTTTGCTGTTTGTATTACGCTGGTGTTGCTGAATCATCATCTTAAGCGTCATAATATCATCTTCATCTTCGACTCTATCAAGGTCTACTAACTCGGTGTTGCAGCGTGACCTGAACTTGGAATCTGCATCAAGTACATACGCAACACCCCCACTCATTCCAGCAGCAAAGTTCCGTCCAGTTTTGCCAAGCACAACTACTGTTCCGCCTGTCATGTATTCACATCCGTGATCACCAACACCCTCTACTACAGCCTTAGCCCCTGAATTACGGACACAGAATCTTTCTGCTGCCATCCCATTAAAATAAGCCTCCCCATTTGTTGCCCCATATAGAGCAACGTTTCCGATTACAATATTCTCTTTTGGGTCAAATGTACTTTCTTTTGGAGGATAAACAACAATCTTTCCACCTGAAAGCCCTTTCCCCACATAGTCATTGCTATCTCCTTCAAGCTCAAGGGTGATTCCAGGGCACAGAAAAGCTCCAAGACTCTGTCCTGCACTTCCACTAAGTTTAATGTGAATTGTGTCCGTGGGCAGCCCACTCATGTGATAACGCTTTGTTACTTCATGACTAAGCATGGTGCCAACTGTCCGGTTGACATTGCAGATCGGAGTTTCAATATATACAGGAAGGCTTCTCTCTAAAGCACCTTTGGACAATTCTATTAATGTGTTATCTAAAGCCATTTCCAAACCATGATCTTGTTTCTGCACACAATATTGAGCAGCATCTGATCGGATGTCAGCAGCAGGTCGGAGTAGCAAAGAGAGATCAATGTTCTTCAGCTTCTCATTGTTCTTGACTAAATCTTCATCTAGCTCAAGCATGTCAGAACGGCCAACCATTTCCTTGAGTGTTCGAAAACCAAGAGAGGACATGATTTCCCTTACCTCTTCTGCTAGCATGAAGAAGAAATTTATGACATGTTCTGGTTCTCCAGCAAACTTTTCCCGAAGAACAGGATCTTGAGTCGCAATCCCCACCGGACAGGTGTTTTTATGGCATTTTCGCATCATGATGCATCCTAGTGTTATTAAAGGTGCAGTGCTGAAACCAAACTCCTCTGCACCCAGAAGTGCAGCAATAGCCACATCCCTTCCAGTTTTTAACTGGCCATCTGTCTGCAGAGTTGTTCGGCCTCGAAGGTCATTCGCAACTAAAGTCTGATGAGTCTCAGCAAGACCAAGTTCCCATGGAAGTCCAGCACTCTTGATTCCAGTCCATCTTGATGCTCCTGTACCGCCATCATGACCAGAGATCAAAACATGATCAGCATGCCCTTTCACAACACCACTTGCAATAACCCCAACACCAGCTTCAGAAACTAGTTTCACACTTACTCGAGCCCCTGGGTTTGCATTCTACAAGAATGGAAAAAATATTACAAACAATTATTTGCTCAAATGACAAACGGGGTAGTTTAGAATGCAGAGCTCGTCATTCTACGAGGCATTATCTACGCAGATTTACCTTAAGATCATGAATCAATTGGGCAAGATCTTCAATAGAGTATATATCATGGTGAGGAGGAGGACTAATTAGTCCTACCCCAGAAGTGGAGTTCCTAGTGACAGCAATGTCACCAATGACTTTGTGTCCAGGAAGTTCACCACCCTCTCCAGGTTTTGCTCCCTGCAGATCAGGGAAAACACAAAGTAGAACAAAAATTTCAGTATATACCATATCAAATAAAATGCAAAGATGCTCAAGGTCATAGAATCAATTCCACACAAGCAGTTTGGACACTGAACGTTCTGGATAACTTGTATCAATTCCATAAAACTTATTAAGAGTGTACCTGGGCCATTTTTATTTGTAATTCATCAGCATTTGTGAGATAATAACTTGTGACTCCAAATCTTCCACTTGCAACCTGCTTAATTGCACTTCTTTTAGGGTTGCTGGATCCATCCAGAAGAGGCTCCATGCGAGACGGCTGTTCACCTCCCTCACCTGTGAACATCATTTGACATAATCACATTTTACCACAAACAATGTGAAGATGGAAGAAATAGTAGAACCCACTACAGTTAAACTTCCGCCGGTCAATCACATATTCAGCTAAGGGACAAATCATTTAAAATTACAACCATTTGGTAATTCAAACGCAATGACCAACCTGTGTTTGATTTCCCCCCAATTCTGTTCATTGCAATAGCAAGGGTTGTATGAGCTTCCAGTGATATCGACCCATAACTCATAGCTCCAGTGCAGAAACGCTTTACTATCTCAGTAGGCGATTCAACTTCCTCCAGAGGAATTCTCACTCCTGTCTCTTTGAACTTCAAAAGACCCCTTAAATTACATTGTTGGTTTAATTCTTGGACACGCTTGGAGTATTCCTTGTAGGCAGCCACGCTGTTGGATCTGGCAGCTTCCTGTAATTTGGCTATAGCAAGGGGATCGTTGAGATGAACCTCACCGCCTTTTCTCCAGTGATAATCACCGGGGTTAGGGAGTGCTACAGCCTCTGAACTTCCAGCAGGGAGTGAACGTGAAGGAAATGCCAGTTCATGAAACTTAATTGCATCTTGTGCAAGTGCTTCAAAGGTGGCACCCTCAACTCTGCTTGGAGTTCCAGCGAAGCACCGCACCATTACTTCTGATGAAAGGCCCACAGCCTCAAAAATTTGAGCACCTTTGTATGAGGCCAAAGTTGAAATGCCCATTTTGGCAAGAACCTTCATCATCCCATACGTGCTTGCTTTAAAATACTTCTTAACAAGCTCATCCTTGGTATGGAACTCACCGGTTGCCTTTGGTGGGATCTTTCCATCAACCTGCAGCCTCAATATAGCTTCTGTCGCCAAATAAGGGCAGATGGCATCCACTCCAAAACCTACAAGCGTGCAAAAATGGTGCACCTCACGGGGTTCAGCTGATTCAACAACCAGTGCAACACGAGTTCGCTCAAGATTTTTAACCAGATGTTGATGTACCGCCCCAGCAGCCAGCAAGGAGCTCACAGCAATTCGGTTGGGCGAGAAGGCTATTCCAGTTGATGAAGAGAACAAAAAAAATGAATATCATAAAACATAAAATCTGAATACATGAACTCAGTGAACTGAAATACCTCTGTCAGAAAGCACGAGTGTAGAATAACCCTCATTGATTGCTCTATGTGCTTCAGAACAGATCCTATCTAACGTCTCCTTTAAACCCTTACTTCCATGTTCTTTAGGATAGGTGATATCAATAACCTTGCTTTTCCAGCCTCTGTAGTTCATCCTCTTAAGAGCTTCCATCTCTTCAATGCTCAAGAGAGGACTTTTGAGTGAGAGGCGATGACACTGCTCTTCGGTCGTCTCCGTGAGATCTCCTTCTGGACCAACCATACACTCCATGGAAGTGACAATTTTTTCCCTAATAGGATCAATTGGTGGATTTGTAACCTGAGCAAACATCTGCTTGAAATAGTCATATAAGAGTTTCTCCCTGTTGGACATCACAGCAAGTGGAGCATCATTACCCATAGAACCAAGAGCTTCAACCCCATCTTTTGCCATAGGAAGTAGCAACATTTCCAAGGCCTCGACAGTGTAGCTACATGAAGGTCATAAAATTGATTAACTATTCCTCTTTGTAAAAGAGGATACAATTAATATTCTTCTTTATAGCGGAAATAAAAGGGATACATACCCAAAGGCCTTTAATGGAGCCAGTAAACCCTGAATGCCCATGTTTTCCATGTTATCATCATCATTGGATGCCTAAAGTGATAAACACAGAGAACACATTAATCAAAATGAAAGTGAATGAAAAGATGGAGGTAGTAAGAGATCAGTAGCTTACTGGTAAAGCTCCTGCAATTAGTGGAGGCGTCCTGTCCGATTCTTTTACAGACTCAACTATGTCTTTCAATTGTATAGTTTGCCTTGCAAGCCACTCCCCATAAGGTCTAGCAAGAGAATATTGTTGTTTCAGAGCATCATCATCCACAACAACATGGTTATCAAAATCCACAAGAAGCATCATTCCAGGATTGAGCCTTCCTTTTCTACTCACATCCTCAGGTGCAACATCAACTACACCAACTTCACTTGCCATTACAACTCGGCCACTGTGTGTGACATAAAACCGGCCAGGCCGAAGTCCATTGCGATCCAATGTTGCTCCAAGGTAGCGTCCATCAGTAACTTCAATTATTACAAAAAAGATTGAGCTCAAAAATAGAATTGAAAAAACCCAAGATGTTTCAAATTTAAAAAAAAAAATCCCAAGGTTCAATACATACATGCAATAAGAGCAGGCCCATCCCAAGGTTCCATGAGAGCTGAGAAGTATTCATATAAAGCCTTCCTTTCAGGATCCATGTTCTTATCATTTTGCCAGGCTTCAGGAATCATCATCATAACAGCTTCAGGTAGACTTCTACCAGCACGAACTAAGAGTTCAAGTACACCATCAAAAGCTCCTAAAGAACATAAACAGGACCACAAATCAGATATTCATAAGAAGATGAAGATAAGGTCATTCATAACTGCAACAACACCTAAAGGTACGGGAAGGTTTAAGATTCCAAGGTGTGCGAGACCTGAATCAGAAGAACTAGCATCAACAATGGGTAAAATCTTCGTCATCTCTGACTTAGAAAGGCCAAGCTCCTTGCACTTAAGGAGACCCTCACGAGCCTTCATCCTGTAGATGAATAAAGGCAACACTAATCAACATTAATGCAAGAAAAGGGTTGATTTAAAAAGAACCATTGACATGTAGAACTATAATCTTAACCTTCGATTTTGATGACAAGCACACCCCCTAAAGGCATAAAGATTCTGCTCGTATTTAAGAAATATTAGACTTACCAGTTTACATTTCCACGGAGTGTATTAATTTCCCCATTGTGACCCAAGACACGCATGGGTTGAGCACGATCCCAACTAGGAAAAGTATTCGTTGAGAACCTAGAATGAACCTGTACCAGAAACCCATTAAAAGAAATCACAAAAGAAATCAAAACAGCAACTACACGGATTCAGAAAAATATCTTTGGCTTTTGGTTTTTTACAGCTGCTTCACAACATGGATCGAAACCCTAGGTAACCTACAGCATTCACAATCTCTTTCCACCAATAATTGAGGTTTCATACTTGGAAGTAATCATAGAAAGGATAGCATCATGTTTTCTGCAAGCATTGATGGCTTCATAATGATGTCCTTACCGACTGAACCAAGAATCCAACTCAAACACTGATCAAGTGGAAGAACTTAAGAGATCATACATGCTTCAATGCCTCAGAAGTCATTTTCTCAACCTTGCATTTCTTCCAGTTAGGGTTGTGATCCAATGCTGTTGGTTGTTCAAGTATGGAGTCAGTGTACAATTAATAGGTGAATGGATAATATAATTACCAGTGCCATGTAGCTCGTAAACCTTTCATTGCCAAGATCTGCATAGTAGTAATCCTGCAACTGATCAGGCTTTAACTGGCCTTTGTAGACAACAGTCCTGCACCGTGAGGCAAGATCATTTTTTTAAGAACTGTGTCACATTAGTGTTACAACTCCTGAGGTAATAAATAAATAAATACTACCTCCATCCCACTAACATTGGGGCATTAGGAGGCGGTGCGGTTGTTAAGAAAAGGTGAGTTTATGTGGTTGATATTGAACTAATAAAGTAAGAATAAAGTAAAAATGATTTTAAACCACATAAATTTTACCAAATCTAGTATGGGACAATCTTAGAGAGATGGAAAGAAAAGGAGAGTAATAAATAAATAATAATAGAAACTCACCTTGACGAAAGAGAACATATATAGAAATCTTTACGGTCGCCATGTTGGAGGTTCAAAGAAGCTCGAATTGCTAGCATAGCAACCCTCCGTAATATGTACATCTGTCATGAATCAAATTCAAACTCAAATTGTACCTAAGCAAAATAGCTTTTCAAGGTAACAGGAAAATCGCCATACTCCTTAACTACCTGTCGCTCAAAATCAACCTTCGATCGGGGAGTTTCGGTAACAAATACTTGCTCAATGATAGGCTCTGTCTTCAAAGCAGAGTTTCCCAGTCCTGAATTATTTCTTGGGACGGGTCTCCATCCAATGACTTTATGGCCAAGTAAATCAGCTACCTACATAATCAATCAAACGCTCACTTTAGAAGTGTACGTATATAGTGGTCACCTGAACTAGCAAACCACTTCCTTCATAATTAAAATTTACATGATATTAAAATAGTGAAAACAAACCAAGTATTAGGGCTTAAAGTTACCGTTGTAAATATACTTTTACTTTTCTCTCTTCTCGCATCATCAGTGGGCATGAAGAACATGCCAACTGCGTACTGTCCAGGTGCGGGTAGCTCAAACCCAACATCCTTAACAACCTGAAACACGGTGAAGAAGAATATGGTCGTCAATTCCCTAGTATCTTGAGGGGCCAACACTATAAAATTTAAACTGTACAAAACATAGAGTTAGATTTTCCATTTGTTTTCTGATGTGGAATAACAAAAAAGCACTTTTAAGTTTTAACAAATTCAAGAAAAAAAGAACTCCCTTAAAACAAGCATGGCTGCATTGCTGTATTAAATACTCACACACTTTTCATGAGAAAATACTACGTAGTACGTGCTAAGATAAGCAAACAAAAACAGGTAAGCTATAAACTGTGTTGATATTGGCACACTGACCTCCTTGTAAAAGTCATGAGGAAGATCCACAAGAATGCCAGCGCCGTCACCTGTATTCGTCTCACAACCACACGCGCCTCGGTGAGACATTCGTACCAACATCTCAATTGCGTCTGTCACCTGCACACCAAAGTTTAAATCTTTAAAAACAAGAACTAAAAATACACAAGAATCATAATTACAGCGTAGTATCCAATCATGTAATATATTCTTTATACCGTCTTGCGGCTGCTTTGACCGGAAAGCTCAGCTATAAATCCGACCCCGCACGAGTCCTTATCATATGAGGGATCATAGAGACCGAGCGGCTTCTCGGGAACCTGAGAGAAAGAGGAACGCACAACAATTCGCTGCTTGGAAGCTCTGCCGAGCCGATCCGATTGCCAAAGATGCAACCTTTCAGAGCCCAAAGATCGGAGCTTTGCCCCGTAAAACCTCTTTTCCGGTAAACTACGGTGTCCTTTGGACAGAGAACAATTCGCCCTCTTAGCAGTGGCAGCTCTTCCAGCTCCTCCTATAGGCAGTCGTCCCAACCCGTTCAACAGACCCCTGGCCGGGGACGGCACTAAAAGGTCACGGCTGTGCAAAACTGAGTTCGGAGTCAAAGCCGCAGACATGTCTCCTCCTCGCTAAAACCACAATTCAATTCAAGACTATGAACTAAACAAATCCAGATTGATTTCTGAAAAAGAAAAAGTCTTATCGCCGAGCAAGACACACTCCAAAACTCTCTGATTGATTGATTTCAGAAGAGTCCTGTTGCCGAGCAAGACGGTTGGATCAATGAATCAACTATATAACTAATAGAGAGGGTAGGTAGAGTGGTAGGTGGAGACTGAAAAACTGAAATCTGCCTAAATTCAAGGAAAATTTATAAAGCCCAAAAAAGTGGAGCTCCTCCGATTCGGCGTTCAAGTTCGGGAGGCGATAATGCGTAAGACTCCCAGTTGGTTAAAACTACCTAATACTATCTACAAAGTACGGAATAAAACAAAGAGGGCCCCACCCCATAAAAGGTTCGAGCGGTTTCGGTAGACAACATTGTAGTTTTTGTAGTTAATGCAATGGCCAGGTTTTTTTTACATCACTCGAATCTTTTTCTCTTCCTTCGTAATTCGTATCTTAACAAAAATTTATTTGACCAGATTTATAGCGTAGTTGGTTAAATTGTGTTTTTAGTATCTTCAAATACGTCATTGTGTGTAATTTGTTTCATGTCTCTCTAACCATGCTTTTCTTTGGACGTTAATTTGATGATTTGGTCTACTCTGGTCTGATCTGTTTAGGTCTGGTCTAATTTGGTTTGGTCTGCTTAAATTTGGTCTGGTTTGAACTGGTGTGGTAAACGTCTGATCTCTGTTTATTTTATAACTACGGAAGTCAAGTCTTGTCTGGTCTGATCTGTTTAAGTCTGGTCTGGTATGTTTAAGTCTGGTCTGGTCTGGGGCTGAAAACAATCCAAATAAAAACATCCTAGTATTTGTTTTCACCTCTAAATTTACATTAATTTTTTTAATCTACATGTTAGGGTGGACGCGTAACTTCTCTATGGGAATAAACTTGTGGGGGTCTCCCTACACCAATTAGAGTTTTTTGTTCCGCCGAGCTTCATTCGTGCGGCTTGGATTTTCATGGAACGTGAGCTTTGTGCGGCTTTCCTCTAGGGAGTTTCAGAACGTGAGTGGAACGCAAGGACGGTGGGGTGCGGCTTGGATTTTTGTTGGCGAAGAAACATAAAGCAACATGGTAGAGTTTTCTTCTGCACCTCGGACATGGATTTCAATGACAAACCTAAAAGAGCGAATTGGCGAGAGCAAATTGGCGAGCACAAGAAGAATAGGGTTTCAGACGAATTTTCTGAGGGTTGGAAGTCTCTTCTCCCATACTACGACAACTCGTCCTCCTCCGAAACCACCTCCGTGCTAAAAAGCAATTTGGGGAAAGCTTTTATTTTCGTATTATTTTTTCTTTCGTAGTACTTATTTTTATTTCAGTTCAAGCATGTATGGTTGGAGTATTTTAATTTTTGAAGAACTTTTGATAGGCAGTGCTTCATGTTCGGTCGTTTTAGGCTTCTTCTTGCCCATTTTGTGTCTAGCGAGTCAGATTGTTTTGTATGGGTGGCTGACTCTAAGTCGATTCCTAGGATTTACGATCGGATCTGTAGTAGCTGTCTGGATATTCTTTTGCATATTTGCTCTCTATTAATGAAAATCCGTTTTTATGATAAAAAAAATGTTAGGATAACAATCTCAGTTTCAAAATGAAACAACTTTGACTAATAGGTTTATATTAAATTGAAAGAAATCATTTGTCCAACAACATGAAACATGCAGATCCTCCATCTAGACTCCTTATAGTCAATTGACTCCTTCACTCTCTGGTTAAACATAGAATAGTCCACCCCGTAAAGAGCGAGACTAATCGCTGAACATGTGAGAGCTTCAGAGTTATTAGCGGTCAGACCAATTTGATTGCTTCCCATCAAAATACTATCTAGCCCAAAAATCCAAAAAAAAAACTACCCCTATTGTTCAAAACCAAAATGACAACATAGTAATTAGAGTACAATTTAAAACAAAAACAGAATAAGTAGATAAGAAAACGATGATGAAGTTCCCCCACTCCAATATTTTTGTGGTAAATCTGCATAACTCTCAGCTTTGTGACAAGCAGGGCACAAAGCTATAGCTCGCCTCCTTCTCATTTTTTGACTTCCTTGGCACCACCTCCATGCTGGTTTGGGCTGGCTCCTCCTCCTCCTCTCGCTCTATCCTCCTGCGTTTTTGTTTCACTTTCCCCCCAACAATAGCCTGCGCCTTTCCTCCGATCATGCCACCTTATCTTTCGGAGTGGATGTAGTTGTTATCCCTTCATTGTCTTTAATTTGTCATTTACCAACCGGAACATGCCAGTTATTCTCTCCTGCCTTTGTTCTCCTTTTTGTAGCTCGAAGTCCATGTCCAAACAAATTTCCCCCACTTTTCACCATGCCCTCACAATTGCAGGGGCAGTATCTCTCAGCATGCCCAATGATTCCACACATGAAACAGAAATTAGGCAATTTTTCATGTTACTTGAACAATGTTCCTTATCATATAATGATTATAAATAATCATACGAGACGATTTAACCTCTAATATGGAACAAATAAATTCATTGTTTTAATACATCACTTTACAATCTTTACAACTATGGATTCTAACTTTAAATCCAAATATGTAAGTTATTCTTTGATGTATTATTATCAGCTTCCTCTCCATATTTAATACAATTATATCTTAGGACACAATAATGTGACCCTAAAAACAATATTTATATTATCATATTTCCAACAACATGAACTAGTTGATCGAATTATTTTCTGAAATACTGAATTTATTATCAACTTTATGTGGTATTTCTAGTATTGTGACCCAATGTAGTTCTATTGATTCGTTTTATGTCTTGGATATATTTTGTTTTTTAGCAACCTATATTGACTATGAAGAGAAACCGCTTGATGTTCCTGAGTTGACTGGACTGTGAGGAGCATGTTTCTTTTGTTATTGAATGAGTTGGTGTTGTATTTACTGGGCACAAGAGACGCCACTTGGAGTGGCGGCTTTTGTACTACACAAAAGAACCGCCACTTCAAGTGGCGGCTTTCCTTAATCGCAGTTAATTCCAGCAGTATTTTGGGAATTATTTCAAGTCCAACAGCACTTTGGGAATTATTTAATTAATTAGCATTATTTCGTGAAAAGCTCAAAATTGTACACCCTCATATCTTATAATTTTGTCCTTTTCTTTTTCAGATGTCCCAAAAACTTTGCTTATTTCCCTTTTACTCAATGGATTTGTGTTTCCTACGTAATACTTTTTATGTCCCTATATAAAGGTCCCCATTCATTTTACACATATTTTAAGAAAATGAGATTGTTTGACATTGTTTGACAATGTTTGGCAGTGTTTCGCACTCTTTTGTTTGCCAAAAAAGGAAAGAGGGCTTTTATTTAGGGACGGCCCGAAAAGGAAAGAGAGATTTTTATTTAGGGACGAAGGGGGGTATTATTTTTCTCTTAACATATCTCAATCACAAATTTTTTGCTTTATTATTTATGGTGTCGTTCAATCTTGTCAAAGTTTTTAGGGCGAAAAGGGATCAAATAGGCCCTCGAACTAACTTAAAAAGTGCAAATCACCCCTTATATAGGAGGCTCTGTTCGGCCGTAGCTATTTGGGGTAGTTCCCGGTGAAATTTTTCTATGAAATTTTTTTAGCATCTTCTTCATTAAGTCTAGTTTACTCATACCAAATTTCAGCTACAAATCGAATCGGAAAAGCAATCAAATGAATTTGTTAAGATAACTGCGCAGTTAAACATCGCAGTACTTTTCAGAAAATCATTTTACTGTCTTCCTGGTTGAATTTTTATCTGATATTTGGTATGGGTAACTAGATTTAATGAAGAAGATGCTCAAAAATCTTCATGAAGGCATTTCACCGGGAACCATCCCAAATGATGACGGCCGGACAGAACCTCCTATATAAGGGGTGATTTGCAATTTTTAAATTAGTTCGAGTGCCTATTTGACCCTTTTCCCTTTTGAGGGATAGAAGGAATATTATCCTATGCCTACACTTCCATTAAGTTATGTAGATCCCACCAAATTAGATTCATTTGATCATATATACCACTTGAAGTGATATATATTCTAAAACAATTGAGTTGATGTTCTGTTTCACGTAATTTGGTATCTGTCCAACTTACATAAAGTAGTGCTCAATTTGTCGTTGGAGGGTATCTTCATTGATTTTGAATTCCTATTGAGAATATAATGTATTGCTCAATTTTAGATCGGAAAAGTACAGAAAAGGTACATGTGATTTGAGCCGTTTTCATATATAAGCATGTGTTTCATTCTTTAACAAAGTGAGGCATGTGTTTCAATTTCGTTATCACAGTAAGGGCATGGCGCTTAACACCTTTAGAATCATCGGAGAAAGACGATGATTAGTAACCTCTATTTTCAAAAGTGCCCGAAAAATTGAAAGAAAAACCATAGGAGGTGCGTCTCGTCAAGAAGACCTCAAGACCACCTCTTTTTTGTTTTTTGCCACGCTTTTTGCCAGAAAGTCCACCTGAAAAGTGATATTAGCGGAATCACTTATAAAAAAAATAATCCAAACAGAGCCAAAAAATACAAAGATTAAGATGGTTTGAAGGTCTCCTTGACGAGGCGCACATTCCAGTATTTTTCTTTTAATTTTACGGGCACTTTTGAACATCGGAGTTACTGTTCATCATCCTCCTCTAACAATTTCTAACGGCTTTAGGTGTCATGCCATGTTGTGATAACGGAATTAAAACATATGCCCCACTTTGTTAAAAAATAAAACATGTGCTCTTATCTGAAAACGGTCCAAACCATATGTATCTTTTTTGTACTTTTACCTTTTAGATTCATTTCTCTCTTTAAAATATGATTACTGGACGACGACAATGAAAGCTAAGGCCTAAGAGCACCCACTATGAGGAGGTCATTGGGGATCAAAAAAGAAATTGATGGCACTTGATCCTCACTATAGGAGCTCATGAACTGATCAATCAAAATGCAAGGTTAAGAATGTGATCTGACAAACATTTTTTTATTAGCCAATTAGACAAAGCCAAATGGCTTTTTATTTACAAAAAAAAAGAGTAACATGCAAACGGATGACTTCTCTTCCCAATCAAGGTAGCAACCAACCCCATCAACTATCCCTCAATTCCCTAATTTCATTTATTATTCATTAAATTTTAATTTATTGTAAAAAAAAATATACCAAAAAATTAGATTTTTTCCTTCTATAGATAGACACCAATGAAGGATATGTTTAGTCACTTTTAAATTTGTCATTTCTTTCTCTCTTGCATCTTATTTTCTGTTTTAG